CTTTTCTGTCAATTTGGATTTACTAATAGCTGGCTTAATTCTGTCTGCATCTCATTTCTCAATAAGTAACTGGTAAACTACTTATGTATGTCAGACAAGGTGACTTTTTGATAAGTGTTTTTTCAATCGATAGGCAAAACTAATCTGAAAAGGAGGTGAGGCAAACCCAAACAAGAAATCCAGAAGAGAAAGAAATGAATAATTTTTAAAACAATCTGATAGATCTAGAATATGCTTTCTTTAAAGAAGAATAAAAAGTGGTGTGTATTTTTTTTTTTTTAAAAAACATTCTTGGTAGTTACTTCAGTCACATGTTAGAGATTTATAGAGACTAGACACAGATACACACACACATCAAACTAACACAGAGAGAGCCTGGAAAGCTTTAGAGAAACAGCATAGCCCATCAGACATTCACCTCCCACAAAAGGGTGGGCAGTGTTTTGCAGAGGAGGGGTATCTAATGCTTTCCAGTTGTGGAAAGTTGTAACAAAAATAGTGAGAAACAGAGAAGAAAGCAATGGAGAGACAAGGCAAGTTAGTTACTTTGGAGCTAATTACTTCAACTGGTAAGTCTTACTAATTCATGTTATTTGATGACCTACTTTTAAAGTATTTATAATATGTGTATTAGCTTGAATGTATTACGTTCATACTGTGTTTCCAACAATATTTCATTCTCTTTTTACCAGAAGCTTGTTGGAAAGTAACAGGATTGTTAGATTGGATCTTTATTTCTTTCTTCTTTGTGTAAAACAACTACTAAACCATAAGGTGATGTAAACTACTGCAGCACTATTCAAATATATGTATTATACATATTTAGCCCAATTGAAGACAAACCTCTTTGGCATTGCTATTACCCCCTCATTTCCCATTACATGCAAAAGGAGCATGTATGGATTATAAAGTAAATAGAAAAACCAGCAAAGTACACATTTTCTTAAAAAAAGAGATCTCCACAGTCTGTAACTTTATACAGAAAATGTGGTAAGAACTTCTGCCCTGTATATTGTAGTCTTCACTTAAACAATTGACAACAAGGCTGACATCAAAAGAGATGTTTAATTGGAGGGGGTTTCTTTCTTAGTTTTGAATAATTATCTGAATGGGGAAAGTTGACTTTTTCAGAGTCTGAAGAACTGGGAGTTGCATTACTTTTTCCCCTTGCCCTTTCAAATAGAAGTTCAGCAAGGAGAGAATAGAGAGGAAAGAACTATATGCAATTTTGCCCAAATGAAACATTAGTGCCATATCTTTCATAACCAGATCATATTAGGTAATTTAACAGGTTATACAATACTGTCATCCTGGTGTGAAATTGCATTACACTGGGCAGTCTTAGTTCATGCCTTCATTCTGTATATAACTCAAAACTAAAATAAAGATATATACTTTGCATGTATTTTGAGATATCCTGTGTGCTAGAAGTAATGCAATGCGCCTCTCCTATATCAATACACGCAACTCATAACTCACCAAAGCCTGATTATTCTGTAGAATGTAAAGGAAAAGGGAAGTCAAATAGGCATTAAGAAAACCCCTGGGTGTGGGTATTCAATTTTTTAATCAGCATGAAAGTATGGCGTCAAAGTAGGCATTCAGGCCCCAATATAGAGTAGAACCTCAATTTGATAGAGGGGAAAGTTTAATCTTTTGTATGTCGGACATCAATAAGACTTTTCTGTTTCTTTTGTTTTTGGGTTTAACTACCCATGTCATGTGAAAGCTCCAATTAGTTTTGAAGTGGATGCATGGCCAAGGGAGTAGGGATAAAATCTGTCTAGTACACTGATCAGTGTCAGGCTCCTATGCTTTGTTTCAGTAGAAGAAAACCCCAAAAGGAGCTATGTATTGTATATTTAACCTAATAGGTCATCTAACCAAACTGTTTACTCTTAGATCAGTATTAATACATCAGGTTGTACAGTCTCAAGTGCTGAGAATTTTTCTGTGCTGAAATAAAGACAAATCATTCTACTTATTACCTGACTTGCTCTGACCTCACATATAATAATCTCCCTCTTAATTATTCTTATTCTATTTGAATTTGGTGAAAGGTTTTAAGGCATGAACACAATTTAAGCAGGTTTTATTTTTAGAAGGACCTTCATGCGTTTCCTCTTTTTTCTTCCACAACATAAATAAACACTCACCTAGATCTTACAGAGCTGGGTCAAATTGAATGCATTTGCACAGAAGCTGTCCTAAATTATTGAGTCCATCTACACAAATGTTCTTTATTCTGCCTGAATGTGGGTCTGTTTCCCAACTTTGCTTGCAAACATTAGGGACTGAAGTTGTTTCTCTGTTCTTTCACTGTGTATATCCATTCCCTGTTCACAACTAAGTACTTCTGATTATGTCAAGAGCCATATAAATTTATCATATGTTCAGAAATACACATGGGCAATTTCATATGAAAGATTTTGAGATTCGAATAATCATTTCTAAATCTACTTGATCAAATACTTAATTTGCCCAAAGTCACATACAAAGCACATCGTTTTTAAAAGTTAGCGTACCACCTAATGATGCGGTGACTATTTCTTGATTTTACCTTATCCTACTAAGATGTGTATTACTTTCAGGACTTTTTAATAACACAGACATCACAGCAGCTAGTCACCATAAGTAGGGCTATGAAATGTTTTGCATTTAATTCTAAAAGGATGTTTTGGAATGCATGGGAGTGTGAATGCTCTGCTTTTTGGTAACTCAATCCTAGAAAGAGACAATGCTGCTTTAATGAGTCTTTGGCAAATACTGCATTTATAGTCCTGCATGCTCCAAAGGACCTTTTGGGAACGGAATCCAAGCTTACTGCTGAGCATATCTGGGTTTGCTGTTCTAAAAGTCATTATTTAAAAATCAGTTTAAGATGTAATTGAGGTATGCAACTTTGGATTTATCAAGGCAATTTCAAAACAGAACAAACGTTTTGTCAATATTTACCCTACTACGGTATCAGCATTGTAGTTTATGCTGAAGAGAAACCTGAAATTATTGTATTTGCCTACATGGTAGTAGTTAAAGTTACTGCTTATTCTATTTCTTACACTGAGTGAAATAAATGTAACTTACTAAAGATATTCTTATGTTCTGAAAAACTGAAATGTCTGCTGTATTTAACAAGTCTCTGGTTACTGAAAATAGCTTGGTGTTCCTTAAATCAAATATTCAGTATATGCCTGAATTAATATCCTAGATGCTTGTCCATGGCAGTGTTTTTATTCTGCATGCATCTTTACCAAATGAAATGCTCAAAGGTGGGATTTAACCAACTGCATAAGAATCAGTAACTATCTTAATGGGTTTAGTTCAGGGAGTAGCAAGGACTCCACAGTTCAACCTTGACCTTCATATACAGGTGGTATTCAATTTACGACCACAATTGAGCCCAACATTTATGTTGCTAAGCAAGATAGTTGTTAAGTAAGTTTTCCTCATTTTATCACCTTTTTGGCCACAGTTGTTAAGTGAATCGCTGTAGTTGTTAAGTTAGTAACATAATAGTTAAGTGTATCTGGCTTCCCCATTGACTTTGCTTGTCAGAAGGTTGCAAAAGGTGATCACATGACCCTGGGACATTGCAACTGTCATAAATACATGCCAGTTGCCAAGCATCTGAATTTTGATCAGGAGACCATGGGGATTTTGCAATGGTCGTAACTGTGAAAAAAACATCATAAGTCACTTTTTTCAGTGCTGTTTAATTTTAAACAGTCACTAAATGAATGGTTGCAAGTCGAGACTACTGTATTATCTTCTGTGGACTTTATTTCTGAGAAGCCTTTTCATTACCTATCACTATGTCAATAAGTTTGTTCAGATATTTTTCACTTTCACTCCAATTGCAATGTTTATAGCAATGAACAACTTGGTAAGGTATTAATAATAAAGCATTTTTGAAAGCGAGTGCTTTATAGTGGTCAGACCTGGATCACATAACATATGTATATTTTTTAAAGAACAGTAAGATCAATACAGGAACAGGGATACAGAAGAAGATTATTGTAATATGTATCCTATTGATGATTACATTATAGACCTTTTAATCCAATTCTTCAGGGAAAGTCATAGAATAAGCTTCAGGAGCTAGGCCAGGGATAGGCAACCTTGGCTCTTTTATGACTCGTGGACTTCAGCTCCCAGAATTCCTGAGCCAGCCATGCTGGCTCAGGAATTCTGGGAGTTGAAGTCCACGAGTCATAAAAGAGCCAAGATTGCCTACCCCTAAACTAGGCAAAGCTCCAATTTGTTTATAATAATAAGATAGTCTTCTTTAGTCATAACGACTTGGAACTTTCTGCCAGCAAGAATTGAGTTCACAAATTAGAAAACTCTGTTTTGGGTTGGTTTTACATTTAGGTACAAAGCAAGACTGTTGACTTATTCCTCTTTCCGTAAAACAAGAATTGCAAAAACAAGTGATTTTTTTTTTTTAAGAAAAGAAGCCAATAAAGCCATAACGTCAGGCTCTGAACTGAGACATAAGGCTTTCTGGTTTGTTCAGCCATTCTCACAGTCAGCAGAAGCCAAATGGAAGTGCTTGGGAGCCTGCATTTCTAAACAAGACATGGTACAAGTTAACCGTGCCATAAAAATTGTCCATGTATTAAGTGCATGTTTGAAGTAGCCAGCAGTTATTTCATTCGGCTCATGGTATTCCTGAAGAAAAGGTAAAGATGTCCCCAAGTTAAGCTCAACATTTAGTGACTACATTTTTCATTTCTTTTCTTTTCTTTTTACAATATTATAGAAGTGGCTCCTCACTTCCTTCTTTCTGGGATTTATTTTTTAACTTCCCACTGTAGCCAATAGCTTTGGAGTTGTCTGGTAGTTCCTAATCCAATTACTAAGCGCAGCTGGTATGTTCCTACCTATGAAAGTTCAGATAATGTAAATGCTCTTTGCAAAGATTAATACGGCCTTTAAAAAACATTTTTCTAAATATTTTGAATGTAACTGATTTTATACCAAACTATTTGTCTACTTACTTCTTGCCAGTCCTCCGTTTTCCAATAATAGAATGAACATTCTGCCATTTGACATTCCTGTTCAGAAGCTGGTCTGCTTGACTGATTGCATTCAGTCTCTCTAGTTCTTTTTGAAGCAGTAAAATGGCAGAAGACGTTTCTCCGCTGCGTTCCTTTCCCACAGGATACTGAACACTGGAGAGATTCGAAAAGTAAGTGTCAAACACTTTGCCTATGTTTTTAAAATCTCTCTTCATTGGGAATATGTTCTTAATTCAAAGCTTATCAAGGACTTTAGAGCTTAAGATAGACATATGCCATTGCGATTTTTCAGAAAATTTATTATTTCCATATGTAGCGCTCTTATATAGGGCTGCTCCGAGGCACCACAGAGCTTGAACAATAAGCTTGAATAAGTTCATTTACTTATATTGAAATTATATTCTCCCACTGGGACATAGGCAAATTTATGTTGTAATAGCTATCTGTTGTATCCACTTTCCATCTGATCAATTCATGTTTATAATTTCAAAACATTGCACTGTAGAGGACATAATGTAGCATCATATATCCAAAATCATTTTTATAACATACATATAAAGTGTATAATTGACAGCAATTTGTGCTTTACTGTGCCTAAAATCTGCTGGCGAAGGCAGATTCCTCAATATATTTCATGGCATGGCTGGCCTTTATTTTGAGTCACAGAAGTCTATTGTTTCCAGGAAAATATGATGCAAAAAAACTATAAGTTTACACATGAAAGCACATTCATTTTTTTCTATAAGAATCTAGCATATTTGATGCATGGCAGGTGTCTTTTCTTTTATATTAATTATCATTGTGAAGCTTTAGGTATTATTTGCAATGCATGAAAACACTTGATTAATTATCACTGCACTCAGTGATAATGAGTATTTAGGTCTAAGGCTGCTCAACAACAAGTTGAATGTATGTATTATAGCACAATGAAGATATTTTCAAAGAAGACAATCCTAACACCAAATTAGATTTATTTTGAAATACTTATGCACACTTCTGCAGCCTGACTATAGCAATGGTATACTCGTTAGAATATTACCAAAGGCAATTTGATTCTAAATAGGATAATTAGTGGGGAATGGTTAAAAATCAAGAAGACATATAGCTGAATAATAATCTGACCTTTAGCATTTTTGAACTTAAAAGGTTTTGCAATAATGCAAAAAAATAATAATTAAACAACATGTTATAATTTACATCTCTATGCTTTGTGAGATATTTGAAACACAAATAACAAGTATAACATTGGCAGGTAGATTATAAAAGTTCCAGTTAAAACAGGAATAGGTTTATACCGTAAATTAAATAACATCACATCCATAAGTTACACTTTCTTGTAACTTTTTTGTATTTACAATTTGTTACAAATTACTATACAAAGAAAAAGAAATATTCCACAGAAGAGTTTCTTTAGCCTTTGTTGCCCCATAAGTGGATAAACCCAAAAGAATAAGCTGACTGTGGACATTCCTTTGGATTATAAATATTTATGAAAGCCAGTTTTCTAACACTGAAAAGTGGAACACAATATAGTCTCATTTCTATGTTGGCTGATGCAAGTATTTCCCATATGGTACTGTGCTTTCCATTGTGATTAATAATACTGTTTATTCTCTGTATTCCTCATGGGATACTGGGATCATTTAATCACAGCAAAAGAAATGCACTCCAAAATTTAAAGCTATCTCATATCTATAGTATTCAAAGATTTAAATCTCAAGAATATATGTGAATATATGAATCTAATACTTATATAATTCCCTAACTAATATCCTGGGAATAATTGCAAGCTTATTACTTTATAGGGAGAAGTTAGAACATTTCCAGTAAATAAAAAGATTGGATCTGCAAATCACATTTTGGCCAACCCCCTCCCCTCCTTTTTAAACTTGAAATAAAAAAACACAGAAAGGCATAACCCCAGCAAAAAATAGTTTAATAAAAATGTTTCCCATTTGTTGTTGTTTTTAAAAAATACTGAAAATAATATATCTCCCCATGAAAAATGCTGCTTTGCTGACTGTCCCCAATCTGCTCTTGAGCATTACAGAAATGTGCATTTCCATTTTGGAGTATGCTTACAATCTGAGTTCATTAAAACATGTTTAGTCTTTCACAAAAACTAAACATCTTTCTGATATCTTAAACTTCAAATTGGGTGATTTCTTGCTATTTTACTCTCCCCTCCAAATAAATGCAGGCATAGGTTGCCTTTTTTATTTGTGTAAGCAGAAGAAGGTGTGAAAGAAGGAAGGGCAAAGGTTTGGTTCACTTGTTTTTTAAAAGCTGAAAAGAAGTATTGGGAATATGTGAGTACAAAGCTTATAAATATATTCTGAAAATGACAAAAAAAAATTCAAATGACCAACGAATGAATGTAACAGCAGAGAGTGTTTTGCATCTTCATTGTACCTGCCGAGGAGGGATAGAAGTCCTAATACAACACTGGGCCTAGATTATTCAGAAATGAATTGATATTTAAATATGTTTTGGGACAGAAGTCTCTTTTCCGGACTGAAGCTTGATTTATAGAAAAAGTCTGACTGTTTTATCATAATGTAGGTAACAGTGCAGATATTAATGGGTATCCAAGAGCAACAAATGATCAGCTTTGAAAGTGGCTTTGCTACCCTGATTGCATTTACTCAAGAGTAAGCCAAATGCAAACAATGATGGCGATGGGCTTACAGTTGATAATTCTGAGGCAAAAGAAACACTGGATTCAGCTAATGAATTGCCATCACTTTACTACTTTTTAGGAAATAAGATTTTAAGAACTATTCTGCTGGCTCAGACCAATGTTGTATGTAGTCCCATTTGCTTACCATAGTGGCCAATTTAGATGCCTATGGGAAATTACAATCAGCAAATAATAACCAGGACCATGCTAATTCCCTGATCGAGCAGTTTTAGAACATTTTGGAATGGAAATGAACATCATTTTTAATTGTTATGGCAACCACCTCTTTTCCCCAATTTGTGTGGCTGCTCCTTCATTGGAGAAAAATTAGAAGTCACAATGGGAACAACTGGTATAACTTTACTCCAGTTAGGCAAATGGATTCTTGCTTTCGGCAGCCACTTGCTTTCATTATTTGCATCTCCAATTCTTTGTGGTTTGGAGCAGGATTGTCTGTTTAATGTAAGGACATCTCCCCCACAAGCAATTTGAGGTACTTAACTGGGAAAACACTTCTTCTTGTAGATGGGTAAATACTGTAGTCTTTTTATAGGCATTCTTCTCCCATAGCTTTTGCCCCCAGAAAATTTAAAAGTAAACCATGAAATTTCATGTCTCTCTCCTTCCTTCCTTCCTTCCTTCCTTCCTTCCTTCCTTCCTTCCTTCCTTCCTTCCTTCCTTCCTTCCTTCCTTCCTTCCTCCTTCTAAATTTCAATCCTTGGCTATGTTATCTCTGTGTTATCTCATACCTAAGCTTCTTGACTTTCAGTACTTTCTGTTGCTTTTAAATGACCAGTTCTCTGAGACGCTTGAAGAACAGGATTTGGAAATGCTACAGGAGGAATATATTGCAGCAACTAATAAAAATATTTTTTCAACTTCGGCACCTAGCACTAAGAGGCACTACATTCTAAGAAGCATTATTTCAGCCTCCTTATGTTTTGATTTTCTAACGTTCAGCTAGACAAAATGTGTCACTGTATTGTGCCATAATGAGTAATATCTTTTTCTAGACTGATTATATAATGGCAAAATCTCAAGTTCCCCCATGGGTGGCAATAAATACATTTTGTAAATTGTAAAAAAATAGTGCTGCATCTTTATAGCCAGATGACCAGATGGCTTAAATTGATATCATTTACAATATAAAGGTGACAGACACTTCTATTTATACTGCCTGAAAAATATAGCCTCCTGGCTAGGCCTGATAAGCTTATACTTGAAATAACCATTAGCATTCAGATTATATACAATCTTACACTCAGTTACCCCTTGAGTGTCAATGGGGCTAAACATATGCAACTGGGCGCAGCACTGCAATCATAAATCTTTTAATTGTCACATCACAACACATTACCATAGCCTATAAATCATGCTTTAGCCTGGCTAATTTGTGTTTCTTTCCAAAATGGACCCAATCATTTTGGATAATGGTTAAACAATTTAAAATGTCTATTTTTATATTTCTTCATGCTTTTGACAGACTGTTATGCATTCTCCAGCATGCTTTTATTAACTTCCAAATTGTTTAAGCTATGAGTTTGATATCTAGAGGCAGTTATTTTGTTAAGGAGACACAAAATAATCTATTCAGCTTTTCAGATTTGCTCCAAATTATGATAGGTGACCTGATTAAGAGATGGACAAATATTGAGGTCTAAGAAGGGGACCCAGATTTCTTTTCTTTATGCTTCTCCTCACTCTAACTGGAATCAGGGCTACCTTCCTTTTCCTTGATATGTTTTAAATATTATATTCATAATAGAAGGGTGCAGAAAAAAGGAAGACCATTAGTTGATTTATCCTCTGCTTCTCTTTACAGTACCCATCTGCTACCTATTTACTCTCCATGCTTACTAATTCGACTGAATCTTTGGGTGGCATTTTTTTCCCAGGGTGCTCACTCACCTTCAATTCCTCCCCTCCCCTCCTCCGTCCATTTCTTCCTCAGATGTCCTCCCACCACAGTTAAACTATGGATTTAACTTTCTGCAATTTATCTCCTATCCACATGTGAATCTCTGGGACTTCAACTCCCAGAATCCCCACAATAATGTGCATTTTTGGGAATTGTGGGAGTTATACTCAACATTTATGGAGGGTACATCTTGGGAAAGACAGGTCAAAATGCTCAGGATCCCGGATAAAGGAATATGTCATGTGTCTGATTAATGAAACACTTAAAAGGACTTTCAGGCATTTTTACTCCTAAAAGCATTTATTAATGTTACAGATACGTCAGTACAACATGGAGGAAATGCTTAGGACTGGCTTCTTTTCCGCTACGCATGTAATTCTAAGCATTTCCCTCCCACCTTTTTTTGGAGTCATGGTTCACATCTTCCAATCAACTTGGAAGATGTGATTTACTTCCGGTTTCTTTTCCCCTTCTGCCTGGTTTAACTATAAAAATGCCAGACAGCTCTGCATATTGTCAAAGCAAGAATATATAGTATTTGCAGCGTTGACAGAATAATAATTCCCTAGCTTTCTATTTTGACCAAAGAACTAATATTACTAAATTGAAGGATTGTTAGTCATTATTATTTACTCAGAGGCAGTCATAATACATAACTGTATTTCTGATCACTTCCTTTATGTTTCACGTTTGCATGTTCTTTACTGTTCTTCTTTCTTTCTAGGTAATTTCATTTTTATTCTTTTCTTTCCTGTTCACCATCTAGCCACTAGCAAGAAAGGAAAGTTAGGGCCAGGTGTTCTGCTATTTCAGATTCCTTGACCCACCTCACAGTTGCCTAGCAACATCAAGCACTGGTCCCTCCCATTCTTCTCTGTTTATAAAAGGATGGTACATTATAACAGTCTTTTCTGTGAATTACTACCAGTAAGTGGAATAGTTACAGCACAGACAAACCAGAGGTCTGGGATATGAGCCAATCTCTGGGCTGCATGAGCAGAAATAATGTTCTTTTGTGTAGATTCTCTGCCCTTTCTTCAGCTACACTCAGAGACTCAGATCTCTCTTCTCAATAAATGATGCTGAAGCTTTTAAAGCTAGATATTCCAAGGAAGGTTATGAAGAATGTATGTGTGCAGGGAAGATTATTATCCATGCAGTTCTATATTATACAAAATATTCTATATTTTAGTAGCCAGTTTAAATTTAATGGGTGTGCCTATAGGTATTAAATAGGAAGATGAAAAGTTTTCCCCCCACATAATTATTAGCACATTGGGCAGGATAGTCATCTTACATTCTCTGAGAACAGACAATGTTAGTAAAAATGAGCTTAGTCCACTGCTTGCCTGGTAATTCCTAATCCTTTTTGCAATTCCTCAAAAGGGCTATGGGGTTTTTCCCTTCAGAAATTAACCCTGTGCTTGTGGAGGGGAACAAGAGACTGAAGGACAAAGCAACTTAGTACCCAAGGATCTCTTCCCTATGTAACCTTTGATTAAATAAAACATATGTTCTATTGAACATAAAGTATAGATTTACGTTTAGATGTTCACAATCTAAATATGTGAGGGGTCAATTAATCTGACCAACAGATGCCTTATTTTACAAGTAATTAATTTTAATGTTAATCCAATTAATTTTGACTTGATTTTACTCTTTTAGGGAAAGAGAGTTTGGCTTATGCTGGTGTGCACATGTTTATTTGTACATACAAATAATTGTACATACAAACATTATACATACAAAGTGGATGAGATACACATGTTTGGTGAGGAAATACAGAATTGGTTTGGTTTAGAGTTAAAAATCCTAATTGACCAGAGACAGGGGGAGAGAGAGAGAGGAAGGGAGGGAGGGAGAAAAGAAACCTGGCAGCATAGAAAAAAATTATTTATAGAGATAAATACTAAGGAGAAACTTCCTGACCATTAGAACAATTAACCAGTGGAACAACCTGCCTCCAGAAGCGGTGAATGCGCCAACACTGGAAGTTTTTAAGAAGAAACTAGACAGCCATTTGTCCGAAATGGTATAGGGTTTCCTGCCTGAGCAGGGGGTTGCACTAGATGACCTCCAAGGTCCCTTCCAACTTTATCATTATTATTATTATTACTTGTTAACCCTCCTGGTTTGGAAGCAGGGGACACTTTCTCAAATTAAAGCATGTGAATAGACATGTGGACTATAATATTGGATAAATTACAAGATCCAAGTTCTGTATCGTACAAGAGAAGCAGTGGAAGAAATACTGCAACTAATACAATATCACTTTCCTTTGGTACTTCATCTCAGTTTGATGGATCAGCCCAACCCCCCTATCTTTAAAATGGTTGGGCTGAAGGGGAGCAGGGCTATCAATTCAGAAATAAAAAGAGAGGTGCTTAATACTGAATCCATAGTGTCTCTGTCTCCATACAGTATGTCTATGGGTTTGGAATTGATATAGAAGCAGAGCTCCCTAAGAACAGTTTCTTTCGAACAAATAATGAATGTTGAACAAGTTTCTTGCATGTACCAGTCGCTTGTTTCTTCCCATGTAGAATATATGGGAGGTTCAGTATCTGTAGGAGTATAAAACATATACTCCAAGTATTTTCAGTATATCCATGCAATGAAGGTACACATCCTTTCAGTCTTATGCAAATATGACCAAGAGTTACTGTGTAAACACCTTACCTGTCCCCAGTCTCCTGCTTTCCATTTGGGGCACCTGCCACCTCTACACTTCCTCAGCACATTTGGTTTAGCCAGTTGTGTACAAAGACTGTTTTCTAAAAGTTTCCCATCCTTCGACATGCAGTATGCTTCTCGGTACTTCTGTCCTCGTCCACAAGAAACAGAACACTGAAAAGAAAAGAGGGATGCTAATGTACCTTACGCACTTTTGTTAAATCCTTACACATATTTTTAAAATACAACACATGAAGTGAAAGGAAAAGCATGTACCAGCTGTTATAATTTTGGCGTCCCCCTGTTTACTACATTTCTCTTTTTCAGCTTCTGGAACTCTTTGAGATGGTGTCACCAATCTCTCAAAATAATGTGTTCAATTTTTTCTCTTAGACTGAAATAATTGTTTGCTGTTGCTTGCTAATTACACATATGTGTAACCAGAAGGGGCTTGGGATTTTATGTACTTTTTGTAGCCAGCTAGAAAGATGGGAAAACAGACTCAATGGGACATTATGAGCCAAGCAAAAAGCACAGCACGAGTATATTGGCTACAAGCTTTGTAATAAAACAGTGACATTCAACCTACTTCTGCTGGTTCACTGAACTTTTACAAATGTGACCACTTCTGGCATATGGGCCCCTGAACCATTTTGATTTTAGATTAGTATCTATCAAAAGATTTAGGAATCAAAAGGAATCTAAAGGCAGAGCAGGAATTTAATATGACAGTTCCTTGCTCAGTGGGCCTCTTACGCAGCATGATGCAAGAATATTCATTTTTCATTCCTTCATTACATGTTAAACAAGTCATTATGTGTTATTTCACACACAGTGCCTGTTTAATCCTGAATCCTATACACAAATACATTTTCTTGTGATCTCTCAAAGTAATGATCTCCTGTTTTCTTTCCAGAATGGAGTCAATTCAAGAAGAGGCAGTTCACTAACACCTAGCAGGCTCTTGGCTTGGTTGACAGAGATGATAATCAGTGCAAGGGCTTAAATGGCAGGTTTTTAAAAATCTGATTTAAGGTAACCATTACGGCAAGAGCTGGAAAGTATTTATTTTATTATTAATTGCCTAATCACCCCTTTTATGTTTACAGTGCCATTACTGCTTTCGCAAAACACAGGCAATGTACTCTTCTTCCAGTATATACCTCTGTGTCTATAGCAGTGGTTCTCAACCTTCCTAATGCCGCGACCCTTTAATACAGTTCCTCATGTTGGGGTGACCCCCAACCATAAAATTATTTTCGTTGCTACGTCATAACTGTAATTTTGCTACTGTTATGAATCGTAAATTAAATATCTGATATGCAGGATGTATTTTCATTGTTACAAATTGAACATAATTAAAGCATTATATGTAATTATGTGTTTTCCGATGGTCTTAGGCGACCCCTGTGAAAGGGTCGTTCGACCCCCAAAGGGGTCACGACCCACAGGTTGAGAACCGCTGGTCTATAGGATACCCAGCCAAATTGCATGATAAAATCAGTCTTGTGAGTTACCACTATCCATTTTGCAAGCTTGGAAGAAATGGTCTCTCTTTTTGTTCTTATTACTGGCCAAATGGAGTCAGTAATTATGATTTGGATGCTGAATATTAGGTTCTACTGTGCTAGCTGTACAAACATCTAAAACTTTCAAGGCATTATAAAAATATAAGTTCTGCCATTACAATTTGGAAAGCCTTATGTTAAGCTTTCTAAATATTGCTAGAGGGTATGATTTTTTATTTGGAAAGTAACTAAATCAATGTAAGCATTATTTAACATTTCTATATTGAATTGGCATGCTGGACCTGTATCAAGATAATTCTTGATTTACGACCTATTGCATAACAACCATTTCAAGCTGTAACAGATACCCCAAAAGCTACTTACAATTTGAATTCAAAGTTCCATTTCGGACAAGTTCAAGTCTGCATTTTGGACATTCAGAAACTAGCTCACATTTATGGCTGTTTGCGGTGCCCTGCAGTTATGTGACCATGATTTACAATCTTTACTTCCAATTTCTGACAAAAAATGCCCTATAGTGAACAACGGGTTTGCTTAATGACTGTGGTAGTCTTTCAGCAATTGCAGCATTTGCTTAACGACCACCACAGAAATGGTTCTAAAATTGGTTCTGGCTACATGGTGACTTGCTTTACAACTTCACAACTTACGACCAAAACTCTGGGCTCAATTATGGTTGCAGGTCTAGGACTACCTGCATTTGAAAAGTTGATATGTTGCCTATTACTGTTATGGCCTCAAAACTGTGATAAAATATTCATTAAAAAGTATTAAAAGATATAATGAATAAAAATGTAAAAACTGCAATATAAGGCAAAATACTAAAACGCTTTAAGTAAGGACAGACTGCTTTAATTCCAGTGTCAGTTTGTTTCATAGCATGAGCTGGGCAATGGGAAAAGAAACACAATTTCAATGTGGACATTAAAAGCATCCATGATGGGATCACAAAAAACCTGTCCCACTTATGATCTGAGAGTAGGGGAAGGATGCACAGGAGGCGGCAATTGACCCGTAGCCAAGTTGGGCTTTAAACACATTGAAGTGAGCTGGGAAAGCTGTCCATGAATGTGTTTTAGTACAAAGATAATGAGAAATATCAGTCACTGCCTGTAATTTGGCATCTTGGGCCTACTGGCATGTTCAGATTATTTTCAAAGGCCGCTCCATAAAGGCTACATTACAATAATTGAAGCTTGAGCTTACCAGCTCATGAGTCACCAAAGCCAAGTTTCATCCAGATAAAGTCAAAGGCCTATAAAAAAAGGTTGCCTTACCATCAATGATACATGGCTGTCCAAAATCAGTGCTAAATCCAAGAATATCAAACAATAGTTTGTGCCTCTAGCCTTGAGTAGTGTGTTTGTAAGGATCCAGGGATACGCAGTGTCTCTCTATTTCAAGAAAGCTTTTCAAATGCTAGATATTTTTTTTTTAGTATATTGGAGATTTATTTTAAATACTTATACGGCTGCTCATCTTAAGAGATACAAGCCTGAGTGGCTCACAATAATAGTACTCCCCCTAAAAAAACCCTTGGGAATAAAAGCAGCAAAAGAAAAGGAGAAGCAAAAACCTGGGCTTTCAGCCTCTGATGCGTTCAACTTCACCATCGTTGGCTCCTCCCTCACCCTATCCCAGTGTTTTTGGGGAAAAGACAACTCTTATGGAAAGCCAAGAGAGTAGGGTCTGCCCAATAACGGGCAAGATGTCCCATAGGGCAAGAGCTGCTACAGAAAAGACACACTTCCTAGGTTCCACTAGATGGCAATATTTAAGGGAAGGGACTGGATTCTTTGATCAACATATTTGCTAACGAAGGTGGAAACTAGTAAAGTGATCAGGCAGGAGTTGTAGCTGCACTTCTCTCCCCTAAAGGAGTTGTCCATTTGGATCCACGAACGAGAGCCCATTGATACAATAAAGAAAGAAGTATAATCTTCTACCATTTCCATGGTGTGGGCTCCAACATGAGCTTGTACTCCTACTTGTACCCTTAATCAGCTTCATTTTCCTTCACTAGCCCAGCAGATACCACTTTGTGACCAAGGAGCCATCCTAGACCAGCCAACTGATTAGTTTAAGGATAATAATGTCAAGCACCTACCGCTTCCTGTTGCCAGTGAGCAACTAGGATAGTGATGGCGAACCTTTTAGAGACCAAGTGCCCAAAAACCGCCCCGCCCCCCTGGCCTGCCCCCACTCTGCCCCCTTGCTCTGCCTGCCCGCTGGGCCACTCACCACAGATCACCCAGGCAGCCTTGCAGCATCATGGCGACCATGCCCTCCACCCGCAGCATCATCTGCACATGATGGGGCGCGAGGGCAGAGTCTTGCCCCTGCTGCCCAGCTGCCATGTGCTTGGCTGTGCTGCTTCGCGTGGGGGAGCCTGGGGGAGCCTCTCCTCCCGGTAGGCTGTTGGTGAGGACGGGGTTGCGGGGGAAGGCAGGGCTGGGGCAACGGTGCGCGTGCCCACAGAGAGGGCTCCGAGGGCCATCTCTGGCACGCATGCCATAGGTTCGCCAGCACTGAACTAGGAGCTCAATAGAACTGTTTGCTGGATTGTGATGAAACTCGCTAAGCAATCCCCAGAATCCCCAATAGAAAAAAACGCTAATTGTGGAGCTCTTGGCTGATGTATTAATAATTAAAAAGTATATGCAAATAACAAAACGAGAAGGATAATTTGGATAATATTAACTTGGATATTTTTCCTATACTGGATGTACAAAAGAGGCTTGTTAAAACTTTTGAAGAATTTTCTGAGAAATGAAATCAAGTTCTATAATGTTATTTGAAGGGACTAAAGATTAAGATTGCAAGAAATAAAAGGAAGGAATATAAAGTTGGTTTATTTGATCAAGGTTAAAACAGGTATCCCTGGTAACCCTTAGTGGATTTTTGCAGACATCAGGACTGAAATGATGAGGTTTCATGGACTTGTTATGGATAAGAGATGAGATATGGGAAAAAGAGATCATTTATTGCATTTTAAGAGAAGATAATAAGTTACTAAAACTGTTTACTCTTGTGATTCTTTATATATTTCTTTTCTTTATTATATTCTTATTTTTCTTCACTATTTCTCTATTTTTCTCTTTTTTTTTTGTTTTATTCACCCTTTACATTTTTTTTGTTTTTTTAGTTTGCATTAGTTTTTATTGTTGTAATTGTAATCTTTAATAAAAGTACTATTTAAAAAAACAACATTATTCAGACCGGCACAAATCCACTGCAGCAGCCTGGAACATCAGAAAAAGAAAAAGAAAACAAATTGCTTATACAACATAGTCCATCAAAATGGATCCCATGCAACTTCATCAAGAAGTGCCTGTCCACTCGGTCCACTATAGCACAACCAGCACAAGCTATGAAAAAGATAACGCTAACAATAATAAAAAATGTTTTTGAAACAATCAACAGACTATGACATCTACACTGCATCACCATAGCACATAAAACAACTAAAGCCCTCTAAAACATCTTAAGCCAGCCAAAAAAAACAACAACCCAGCAGCCCAAGAAGGAAAAACAGAAGTCATCTACAACATGCAGTGTAAGGACTGTAACAATCATTATGTAGGACAGATGGGCAGATGACAAGAAGAATGCATCCATGATCATCAACTACAATTAGAAGACATG